TCTTAAGGTTACCTTAATTGCCATCGCGTCAGCCAGGCGTATCTCAGAACTGACTGCTCTTTCGGTCAGGAATGACCTTTGCACCTTCCACCAAGACCTTTGGTTGGATCCTGCCTTCGTGCCCAAGGTCAATTCACCTTTCCATAGAACATAGGAAGTCATCTTGCCTGACTTTTGTCCTGATCCCTCCCCTGACTTGGAGCGGTAGTGCCACACGTTGGACATCTGCAGGGCCCTGCGGCGTTACATGAAGTGCACGGAACCCTTTCGCAGATCTGGGGCCCTTTTTTGTTTCCTTCTGTCCGGCATTCCTGGGACAGAAGGTATCCGCTGGCACTATCGGCAGGTGAATCAAGTCCTATATCATGGAGGTGTAGCAATCTTCCTCCTTACTGACTCCAAGTCATATTACGGCCCATTCCACTCACAGCACTGCGACATCTGCGGCATGGGCCACTCAGGCATCCATCAAAGACATTTGCAGGGCTGCGACATGGTCATCGTCCTCCCCTTTTAGACGTCATTATAGGATTGACTGCTTTGCTTCAGCGGACACCTCCTTTGGTCGGTGAGTCCCCCAGCAAGTGGTCTCCGGGGACGTAGATTTGGCCTTATCTGTTTCCTACCCATCGGGACAGTGAGGCTTTGGTATGTCCCATTGGTGGATTCTCCATCTCATGTACTGGAGAAGGGGCGTTGTCTTACCTGAACGCCTTTTCTCAGTACGGAGATGGAGAATCCACACCCACCCTATGGTCAGTTAGGCCGTTATTAGGGAATTGAGAGCCAACGCCTCGTCCTTGCATCAGCCACTTTCGCCCTCGTCAAGACTGGATCTCCTAGCAAGAGGGGGCATGTCAAGCTTGGCTACTTGGTCTCAAGAGCAGGCAGACAGAGAAAACCCATTGGTGGATTCTCCATCTCCGTACTGAGAAAAGGCGTTCAGGTAAGACAATGCCCCTTTCTGATGGTACACATTCTTTTAATAGAGGAATACAATGTCCTGGAAGGCAGTGGATTTTCCCTTATTTCCCTGTTTTTAAGTAGAGGTTGAATAGCTTACCTACTGAATACAGTAAGAGTGGATTTCCTACATCACCAGAGAGTGAGAATAGATTATCCTTCCAATACTGCATCCCTGATGGAGAAGATGAATTGGATAGATTTGTAATATACTCCAGAATAGCTAAGGGTCTTTTTTTGGGGGGGGGCTAGGAAATTAAGAAGCCCAATTATCGTTTCTCTTTATTGGACCATCTTCTCCATCTCTTCAAATAGTGACTGGCAGTGAATAACATTTATCAATTTCTCTTTATACTGTAGCAGCTGTGTTACATTATTTATCTTAAGGGATCTTTTGTTCAGTACTGGCTTTCGTATTAATAACAGCGCTTCTTTTCCTTCTCCTTAGGTTTGTATGTGTGTCTGCTTCCTGCTGTGCTGTGTGCCTTTGTTGTGAGAATACAATAGCATTTACTATGAACTTCTCTTCCCCCACTCTTTAAGAATCAACTTTGATTTAATAAGGTTGGGTGTGAAGCACTGAACCACTAAACTGAGTATCTGACTGCATAAAACCAATTCTCAAAAACAGAAGCATATTAATAATGTTGGATGTTGCTATAAACCAAGTAAAGATAAGACTGAAGACAGTAGAGATTATACGCAAAAAGTAACAATAACCACCAGTTCACTTTGAATGAACCAATGTAATAATTAACATTTTAATCTCTGTACCGGATACAGAGGCAACTTTCCATCACACTCCATAATTTAGTACAGGGATAATTTAGGCATTGCACCTCGGATATTGCTAAATTGCCACTCCCAATAGCCTCAGTTGGCCTAGTGAAGGATGTTAGAAAATGTAGGCCATCTGAAGGAACCCAAATCGAGCAACTAGATCTATCAGCTGTGGTAATTAGATTGAGCAACATTGCTCATTGACTAGCTGAGATTTTGACTAGGCATATTGGAACTTGCATATAAAAAAGGATTAGATGATATTTTATAAAAGTATCATATTTTGTACCATTGATTTAACACAAAGAAGAAGATCCACTGTATATGATTACTCCATATGTGTGCTCTATTTGGGGGCTGCCCTTGAAGACCATTCAGAAATGGTCAGCTGATCCATAATTCAGGGGCACAAGCAGTTATGGGCATTTCTGCTTTGTGAACTGCCTAGTTACCAGTAGGTTTCTAGGTAGAATTCAAAGTGCCGGATAGGGGCCTTGTCCTAGGGTCTTGTTATCCGAAGAACTGCCTATCTTCAGTAGTTCTTCCTTAAGTTCTGAGAAAATGGTCACGCTCCGAGTCTCATCAATTAAACTGGTGGGGCCCAGAAAGTAGATTTTTCAATCATGGCATCTGTCCTCCAAAACCATTTTCCTAAGACTTGAATAGCCCCAACTCTCTTAAATAAATTTTGAAGACCTGTTTCTTCCCTTAGTCTTTGAGTGTGGACTCTCTTTATGAGGCTTTCTTATGTCTGCTCACTGGGATGACCATCTTTTTTGGTTCTTTGGTTTCTTTGATTTTCAATTTATATTTTGCGTGAGAATTATTTCAGAATGTGCCAGTCAGCTCAGTGACATGGAAGGTAGCTAGATTCAACTAATTCAGAATTGTTTTATCTCCCAATTGACTAGAATGGGTAATCCACAGAAGGTTCCAGTGTCTTCTATGGTCTTCAAAGGTAATTGTTCAGAGACTTTGGTTATGATCAGTTTGAAAAGAATCCTGCTTCATTATCCTAAAGATGGCCAATTTAATCTATCTCAGTGTATGTTTCTATTTTTCTGCATTACGGATATTCCTCTCTGACAGGATGGGGAAATATAAAATTCAGAATGTTGTACAGAAAAAAAACATAATCACATTTGTATTGCATAGTATATTTGGGTATTATTAACATGACTTTTAAGAACTTGGTAGATTTATTCAGCTTCCTACTTACAATATATTCCTGTATGCTAAGGATGTCCAAGAGTGTTTATTACCCAGTAATAAATTTCTGTTACTAATCTGAAAAATATTAAAGTTTGGACTTTGAAATCATAAGATTAAAAAGACATTGGTATTTTGTTCTCTCTTAATTAGCATTCTGGTGTCTCATATAAAGTATTTGAACATATGTAACTTTTAATTTATTATTTCATTAAAAAAAACCCCTAGTATTCTTTGTATTCTGCCAGTAGCCCAGAAGCTAGTGGGAACAATTTGTGGTTTGTTCAAGCTACGGTAGGCATCATCACCCCCTGTTGTTCAGACTGAAATCTTGCTAGACTGGGATTGAGCTGACCGGGGATGGGGGCAGGGAAGTAAGTTTTTTTAAGCAAGCTTGCTTGCTTACTTATACTTCTTCATGATTGGGGCCACCTTCCCCCTCCCTTTCCCTTCTAAGAGGAGGTGAGTTTGATGAGGTGCCTTTCTATTTCTGAGGCAGAAGGCAGGCCTTGACCAGCTGGTATCTTGAACTGACACAGGTGCAAAGACTGCAGGGGGTGGGATCCAAGAATAATTGCATGTTTCTCAAAGCATCAGGCCTTGCCCAAAAGGGGTCTTGCAGAAATGGTTCTTTATGGAAAATTAATGACAAGGCTTAAAGCTTGTCAGGATCACTGTGGTCATCAGAGAAGGAGTAATGCCTTACAGGGACAGCTCCCTCCTGCCTTCTCCACAGGATATTAGCTGACCCAACACAGCCTTGTATCATCTGGAGATTTCACAAGGCCTGTGCTGGTTTTAATGTTCTTTGAAAATCTTTTTTCCATCTTGCTAGCCAAAGATTCATGGACTTTGTATTTATAGTGTGAGCCTCACGGTTTCTCTTTTAAGGAGCGTAAATCAAGATGATACAGAGTGATTGGTATTTCTATTGTGACAAGAAGAAATTCCGTGAAAGTATACTTAAGCTTGGAGAAAACAATAACATTATGCTTATTATTTATTCACTGGCAGGTTTAGGAGATGACAAATTCTATGATTTAACTGAATTTTCTATTATATATAATTTGGTTTTGACTAAACATGTGTGAAAGACTAATCTATGTAAATGGATAGTTAAATCTCCTGCTTGCCTGGGCTAATCTTAACATTTGCAGTCCTTTAGCCAACAGCTCAGACATCACTGCGTTTTATTGTCTCTTGATCCTATCCATCGGAAAGAATCACAAGCAGTCTCTATTTCTCCGTGATATACTGTAGTTGCATAGGTGATCTATGGTATGTGTGAGAAAATCCACAATACTGTTCTTTGGTACATTGGGAAGAGAAAAAGAAATGAATGAACTACATCCCATTGTAAACTTTTACGCTACTTTGGATTTAAATGGCTGATACAAGATCATGGAATTACATGGCATGTTTTGCATGTATAGACTCACTCATAAAATTAATTCCTAGAGGTCTAGGAACTTACAGATTTTATCAATGCCATGGTCATGTTGTAGTCTGAATTAATCTGTAAAGAAAGTGTAGAAAATTTATTATATATTTGTTTCTCAGTTTATATTTATTGATTCATTTGAAACATTTATAACACTGCTGTCTAGTATGAATACCCAAAGTAGTTAACAAAATAGAGTTGAGAATTTCTTCAGAACTGGTCAAGTTGTGCTTGTGTAATATTTGTGAATCACTTGGTTTGCAAGTGATTGTTCTTATAGTTGCTAGGCAACTAGCAACCTGTGCTTTCAACTGCCTTCCTTTTTACAATTTGAGTATTTTTGCAAATAAATTTGTACCTGGATTTCCAGATTCTACACACCAGAGCTGAATAGCCACTGTATTCTTATTGTACAGAAGAATTCATTTCTGAAATGTTTGCTGCAGCCACATTCTTCCTCTTTTGTCTTATGGTTACTTTGATTTGCTTTTCTATTACCTCTTACTGTGGCAGGTTGTTTTATTCAGATATTCTTTTCTTTTTGGCAGTGGTTGCAACCAGGTTTGACTGTCCAGTGATGGTTTCTTTCTCCTTTTTGTTTCTACAGACATGCCTTGAGCTGGAGCGCTACCTTCAGACAGAACCCAGGAAGAACTCAGAAAGCTTCGGGGAGGACTTAGACTGTTTTCTTCATGCCTCTTCTGCTCAAAGCACAGAAGACAGCATTCAGCCATTGGACCCACTCTTATTACCTATAGATATGAGTACCTGTGATAAAAATGCCAACATGGACATTATTCTCTCAAGGGACAAACTATTGTCTGAGACTTGTCTCAGCCTGCAACCTACCAGCTCCTCTACAGAGGGCTATGCTGCTGTTAACCAGGCCCAACTCAACGCAGTGACCTCACTAACACCTCCTTCCTCTCCTGAACTCGGTCGCCATCTTGGAAAAACCTCACAAACTATCTCTGCAGTTGATGGCACAGTTACACTGAAATTAGTGACCAAGAAATCCACCCTCAGCTCAGTAAAGGTTGGTGTAATAACACCAGCTAATACAACAAAGTGTGCGCTCAGTGACAGTGAACAAGGAGGGTCAGGGGCTGATACATCCCCAGAAAACAAGAAGAGGGTTCATCGTTGTCAGTTTAATGGGTGCCGTAAAGTATATACAAAGAGCTCACATCTAAAAGCGCACCAGAGGACTCACACAGGTACATGTGTTAGATGCTTGGTTGTCTTTAACCAAACTTATGCCTTTTATTTATTATTTATCATGTACTGAAATGAAGCTTTAGAGGATAAGAATTACAGGCTTGGTATAAAAAGTTGGGTTGGAACATTGTGTTCCATGTTATGTCAAGGAGTTTGAGAATTCGCTATCGCAGAATGAAAATGTGTATGGCTCTATAATTCCTATATTAGTAACATTTTGTCAGAATTTCCCAGATTACTGAGAATACAAATAATCATACAGCATGTTTTGTTTTATTGTTCTATTATTTTACTTTTGTTTGAACTTCCTTTTTATTTTCATTTTTTATGGTTATGAGCTGCTTTGAGTAGCTCTATAGTGAGATAGGTGGCAAATAAATATAATAATAACAATAACAATAGCAATAACAATAATAATTGGCATAGGAAGTTTTTAGGGAGATTGTGTTTGACTATTTGAGGAAGTTAAATTACATTCCTTGAGCATAGAAGGCACCTCTGGTATAATTCTCTCCTTTTATAAAGATTAAGATTAATACTCCTAAAGATCCTATCAATGAGGGATGATGGTCTTTATGTCACAGCTGCTTTATAATTCTATAGATTATTTGGTGGAATGCAATTATGTCTAGAAATCAAAGCCAAATTTTTATTAGTTTTGTTGATTGCTACCCAGCCAGCCTGTTCAAAGAATTATAATTCACTGTAGATCAAGCCATATTCATGAGAGTCTGGTTCTGGCTTTGAAAGGAGTCATAATTTTATCACATAAGCGTTTCAGTTGCCCCTACTTTTGCAAAAATAAAAATAAAAATTTCCTCACCTATATTTACTCATAGTAAAAGGTAAAGTATTACTGTTAATTTTACATTATTACTGATTTTACTGGTTATTACTGATCATGACTTAGAACCTGGTTAACTTAGGATCAGCCTGTTTTCATTTTTTCTGCTGCACGGTCCTCTCAATTGAATTTCATCTTGTGGGACTGAGGAAGCATGCCTTCTCCATTGCAGCTCTTGCCCTCTGGAGCAGCTCCCAGATGCTTGTACTCCTGGGGTTCTGGAAGTCCCTTTGAAATCCTGGCTCTGTTCCCAGCTCTAGAGTTAATATGTTTGTGGGGGGTCTGCCACATTTTATTGTTATTGTTATAGCTGTTTTTATTCTAGGCTGTCAGTTTCATTATAATAAATAAGTAAATAAATAAATCTCCTTTAGTGAATATGTGTGAAACATATTCAACTTCAATCAGTTTTATTTAGAGACAGCTTTGTAGGATAAATCACTGTTCGTGCTATTTTCATGTATCACAGAGAACGAATGCTTTGATTAAAGTTATCTCAGCTGAACAGATATTTGAAACTAGGTATTGTAGTCAAAACTGAATGTACTTTCAACTGTATTCCCTTTACATTATATATCTATCACATTTGAACCAATTTCTGATTTCCACATTGAACATGTAAGATCCTTAAGAAATCCTTAATAAGCACTAAGCACTAAAATACCTTCCTATCTAGAAATATCTAGAAATTCAGAATCTTTCTATATGTCCAACATGGTGATAGTTGTGTATTTTGGTAGAACAAAGTTTGATTAATTCTGGTTAATACCAGTGAACCACAGTCAATTAACTAACTATTCCCTCATTTACAATCTGAATAGTCACCTGGTCAAAAAACCTATATGCTCTTACTTTGACCTGATGTATGGTAACTATGGTATGAAATACTCCTCTATGAAAAATTATAGTCTTGCAATTAGCTCCTATCTGTACTAAAACTCTTGTTATGACCTTTAACGGTAAAACATTAAATCACAGGGCAACAGTTTTTGAACAGAGGTATCTGAACTGGACTAATTTACAAAATATATTCAAAATCCAGGGCCATGACTCCCGAGAGAATGAAATTTGGGGAAGTTGTGGCTGTTTCAGTGTTATTAAGTACTGCTGGGCTGCGGCTACAGTTATGTGATCTTCATTTTCAGCGTTCTGTAACAGTTTCCTAGACAATCTTGCAGTTCCTTCTTCCCTCCCCCACCCAGTAGCAGACACTTACGTGCCTTCTGGGAAAGGAAGGGAAGGAGGAACAAGGAAGTAGAAGGAAGAGGGAGGAAGGAGCTCCATGCATATTTTCTGGCAGGTGTTATTCTGTTTCCTTGTTTAGGTATGGAATATCTCCAAAACAATAACCTAATGGGGCATGAGCTGGCTAGTCTCTTCTCTTTTTTCAGCTTCTTGCTAGGATGATAGGACTTCCTGAATGCTATGTTATTTTTTGCTTCCATCAAAACTGCTGAGTCAGTTTCCCAATTTTTCTGTAAAAGACAGCCTTAGATGATAGTGCCAATTGTCCTACCTTTGTAAAGGACAATTCCTAGAGATGAATTTCTACCTTATTAAGGATCTGGAGTGAAAACCTGTGCCTATAGCGATCATATTTCTTTACTCAAAAATTATGAACTGGCAGGGTGTACTTAAAAGAATTCACTATTGAAATAGATGGAACTAAAAATGGTTGCCAGCATCATAGCCTATTTAAGAGAAGATTGTATGAGGCGGGGTTGGGAAACTTTAGGGTTATGAACTTTGGATAACTGTTGACTGGCCTTCTCTTTCTCTCTTTATTTTCCTTACCTCTCCAGTTGCCTCTTCTCTACTCAGTTTTGTTTTCTCATCTTTCCTTTTCTACTCGTTCCTAAGCCATTTCTGATTATTCAGTGAGTATACTTTTTTGTGGCCAACCTTTTTTGCACAAAGGCATATGCACATGAACATACATCACATGGACACATTTTTGGGGTGGTGGGGCAGTTTTTGTGATTTCCCTCCCCTCTATTCTTCCTCTGAGAAGAAGGGTATCATCTTAAATTCAAAATTATCTTTCTTGCAGGTAAGTGTATGAATGAATGTGTTTTGCAATACTTAAACCCAATCTCCAAAGACTCTTGGCAACATACAATATCAAAAACAAAACAAAATAGTAATAATAACTAACTAAATCAGAACAATATAAAAAACAAAAATAGGACTTGTCAGTTTAGACATCAAATTATACTGTACTTTGCAAAGATTGAAGTCATGCTTTCTGATTTTGATTTGGCTAAATGGTTGCAAATATTATTTCAAATAATAAAAGACAATGGGAAGGATTACTGAATATATATATAGTATAACACAGGAGTCACCAATTAGGCCTATGAAATCCTAGAATTGTAAACAAAATGTTTAAATTGGCCAAATTTCACAACTTTTTAAGGTTTCTTATTTATTCCATAATTATCCTGTGAATATTTTGTTTGTTTATTTAAAATAGTTGCTTATATCAGGAAGATATTAATAGATTAAATAGGTTTTCTTACATTTATTCTTAGTGGATTTCAAGGAAGGGTTCATCTCCAACCAATACTTTCATGTGATGCAGTTCTGTAATTGTGGTATCTTTGACCTGGATTGCTCTATGAATGGACTGAGGTATGAGGAATTTTAAAATGTTTGGATTTGGTGTCAGTATTGGCTTTCTGATTCAAACCTAGTCCAAATCAAATGTAGACCAGCAATGATCAATTGACAGTAGAATGCTGGGCATAAATATTTTTGCTGGGAGTTTATGACCAACATCTGAAATCAGAGATAGTTTAAAAGGAGACACATTGAGTCCTTTCCCATAAAATTATTAAAATTATACTACTCATTAGGATATGCTTGGTATCTCCAAATGAGCTATTATTTCCTTCTGCAGTTCACTTTTGGAGTCTAGCTACTGAGTTGGGTGAATTCAGATTATGACCCCAAACAACTACTCTTATGTTTACCTAGCTTGCTTTTTCCAGTTCATACTGCCTTATCTCTCTAAACAATAATGTCGCTTTATTTATGCAAGCAGACATTTCAACTGGCTCCAAAACCCCAAAAGGAAAATTATTAAAGGGGGTGGGATTTGGAAGTTTTGATGTGTATTGTAAGAGTCCCAAGGCCAAGATTATAGGCATAAAGCAGTCATTTTGTTGGATCCTTTGTCTTTGAACACAGGCTTAGTTTCTTGGAACTGTCGCTTGTTCAATTGTGAACAAGCTTCACAGTGCCAATGGCTACCAGCCATTTGGCTCTCTTGATTGCTGAGCTGAAGGTCTGAAAAGTTTCTGAGATTTTTGTTTTTCCCATTAGCTGCTTGTAGCAAATGAAGAACTAGATACAGTAATTCAAATGTGAGATGACAAGGTAGCAAAACTCAATTAGATTTGACAAAAGCAAGGGTTGACCATTAGTAAGATCAGGAGTAATCCTGTTTTGCTGACACTTGTTTTTCCATGCATGACAGTCTGTGGAAAAAGTGCTTGCAGTATCTCAAGGAAAAAGCACAGAACTTCATAGGCAAAATTGAAAGAGGACACAATTAATCTCTGGAATGACATGCAGTAAATGGATGGATAGAGTACTTGGGAGACAGAGATGTGTGTGTTGAAGAGTACTTGTTTTGCAGGTACAAAGTGCCAGGTTTAACCCAGAACACACATTTCCATTTATGGTTGAGGAAGACTCCTCTTTGGAACTCATTTAGTACACTTCTTTGTAAATGTATTCCACAATCAATAGCTTCCTATGATTAATGTGATTTTTGTCATATATATAAAACTGAAATTTGTCTGGTAAACTGAACCCCTTGGTACAGAAAGAAATTTAACTCAGAAAAAGCAAGAAGCTATTTAGTTTTCTTCCCGATAAGCTAAAAGGTTTTTAAAGAACTGGTGCTCATTGATGTTGCACCAAAGTCTTCCTGCTAAAAACAAATGTGTCAAAAGATAGATTCAGATTTTGGCCTAGTGTAAAATGGAGAAGTCACTTGGTATGTGGTAAAATATGTATGAAAGAGAGCACTAGGTGCAGGAAAAGATGAGATATGCAATTGGGAGAAAGATTACCTATTTTATAAGTTATGTAAAGGATCTGTTATAAAACATATAATTAATGATGTGAGGAAATAAACTCAGCCTTAAC